CAAGCTATTCTTGCAAAAGGGGCAATAACTTTGTAAGAGGTCATAGGTCAAACACGTTGGGTCGTTTTTCGGAATAACTTTTAATATCCAGTATCATGAACAATAAAGTTTTTCGATAAGTCTTGTGGTTTCAAAAGTCCGGGAAGAAAAAGAATAATAACTAGTAGACTAATTGTTCTCGAACAATTAGAGGTCTTTCCACCTTCTTTAAATTTCTTTAATTTTTTTATTTTACTCTTTAAAGTTAATTTTTATACAGAAAGAATCCAGAAATAGTTTGAAAAATAGAAAAAGCTATGAAAAAATTGAATTGACCTTGACCTTTGACCTTTACCACACATTAAAGGTCAAAGGTCAAGAATCACATTGCAATTGGTTTCATGCTTCTAGGACTTATACTTTTAAAGTTATAAGGCCTAATATTAAGCGCAAAGACGTTAAAGGGCGATAACTCATATAAGGGGTCATCAGATCCTTTTGCACTGAATAGATTGAAGTTGTGTCTAAAGACCCTGAAGACATTAGTGAAGGTTTGATGTCTCTACGGTCTACGGTTTCAGAGGAGTAGCGATAACAAGGTTTTTTGCACAAGGGCCGATAACTTTCAAAGGGGTTAAGCTTAGGGGACAAAATTGAAATCTTTAAAATAGTTTTAGAAGGACATATTAAAGATGCAAAGACATATAGTATATGTTGAAAGACAAGAGAGTTATAAATATCTCATAGTTTGAATGACCTTGACCTTTGACCTTGACATAAATTTCAAGGTCAAAGGTCAAAGAATTCAATGCAGTTGGTTTCATGTCTCTATAACTTACGGTTTTGAAAATTTTTAGTTTTTTGTGAACATCGAAAACTTTCAGGGGCAATAACTCATTGAAGTGGTCAACAAATCCTTTCGCAATGAATAGATTGAAGAGTCCCCTCAATTAGTCGAAGACATTGGTGAAGGTTTCGTACCTCTACGGTTTACGGCTTCGAAGGAGTAGCGATAACAAGCTATTCTTGCGAAAGGGGCAATAACTTCGTAAGAGGTCAAAGTTCAAACATGGGGGGTCGTTTTTCGGAATAACTTTTAATATCCAGTATCATGAACTATAAAGTTTTTCGATAAGTCTTGCGGTTTCAAAAGTCCGGGAAGAAAAATAATAATAATAATAATAAACATAAGCATTTCAAGAGGTCTTTCCACAGAAAGGTGGAAAGACCTAATAATAATAATAATAATAATAAACATAAGCATTTCAAGAGGTCTTTCCACAGAAAGGTGGAAAGACCTAATAAACATAAGCATTTCAAGAGGTCTTTCCACAGAAAGGTGGAAGGACCTAATAAACATAAGCATTTCAAGAGGTCTTTCCACAGAAAGGTGGAAAGACCTAATAATAAACATAAGCATTTCAAGAGGTCTTTCCACAGAAAGGTGGAAAGACCTAATAAGATAATTATGCAAGATTATGTTTATCATATAATTCAAAAAGTATTTTCTTAGTTTTAATAATCAGTAGGTAGACCTGTAAGTAATAGATAAATAAAAATGAGACAAAAATAACTTATCTTATTAAAAGTTCTTCAAAAACCATAAGAGAGGTCAATGCTAAAGGTCTTAATATGGGTTTAAAAATAGTACAGAAACACTAATAGTTTGTTAATAGTCTGCATGGTGATAGTGTTAAGTGGGGGACAGATTAGAACTTAATTTATGAGTTGATACTGAATACTAGACTAATTATTTTGTTGATCCTGATCTTCCTACTTCTCTTGCTTTAGGGCAACAAAGCTTCATCTATCAGTGTAGTTAACTTCTAAATTGTTGTATTATACTCAGGTGACCTTTAAGGCCCTTGGGCCTCTTGTTTAAAAAATCTTCTCAAGTACAACAAAGCAATTTGTTTAATTGACTGATTTGTGCTTTTGCCTAGCCAATGTGCTCAGGTGAGCGATGTGGCCCATAGGCCTCTTGTTTTCAATATTTCTTTTAATATAAAATTTAATTATAAATTTTGATTGTGTAAAATGACTCCTGAAAATATTCCTAGAAACTTTACAGGAACAACGTATTATACATTTTTAGAACTTTTATGGTATTCTAAAGTTACATTTTCTCATTCTTCACCAAATTATGTGACATTCGGCAGACTTCGGATGATTCTGTCACCTTCATCAATATTAAACACGTTAAGGTACGAATCAGCAGAGGCGTTCCGAGTGATTTTGTAGCTTGAATAGCCAAACATCAATTTATGTTGTGAAACTAAACAGATACCATTTCTTTAGTGAAAACGACACCAATTTAAGCGAAGATATTTAAATTTTGGAAGAAAGTGACCTTGAACCATGTTTCTAGGTCTAAGGTTAAGGTCATAGCAGAATTATATGAAAAATCCTTGTTCAGAGCATATCTTTTCTCCCCTTGGTCCAATGTGGCTCATACTTCACTCACAGAGTGCCATTGGTCAATGGATTTGCAGTGACTTTGAACAAAGTTTCTAGGTCAAGGGTCAAGGTCAAAAATAGCCTCTCTGTTTAAATTCTTGTCCGGAGCATATTTTCTCTCTCCTTGGCCCAATCTGGCTCATACCTCACCCACAGAGTGCCTTTGGGTAAAGGATGTGCAGTGATCTTGAACCATGTTTCTAGGTCTAAGGTTAAAGTCATAGCAGAATTATATGAAAAATCCTTGTCCGGAGCATATCTTCTCTCCTCTTGGTCCAATGTGGCTCATACTTCACTCACAGAGTGCCACTGGTCAGTGGATTTGCAGTGACTTTGAACAAAGTTTGTAGGTCAAGGGTCAAGGTCAAAAATAGCCTCTCTGTTCAAAATTTTTGTTTGATGCATAATTTCTTTCCCTTAAGTCCAGTCAGCCTCAAACTTTACCAATTAACTTAGGGTACGAAACATTTGTGATTTTCCTTCCATATTTTGATAGAGGATATGCAACATTCGTAATTTTTGTGCCGTTTTTGATAGAGGGTATGGAACACTTGTGATTTTCGTGCCATTTTTTATTATAAAAAGGATGACATAGAAGCCCTTTAGACTCAAACAACACATCCCTTAATAGTACACAAATGTTCCTCTTCAAAATAAATACTTTTCAGCTACCTTACATTTTTATGTTCATTGCTGAAAGCGGGGCCCTTTGAGATGGCCACCATCTCGATGATATCTAGTTTATTATATCTCTGTAAATTTTTATGCCCCTTTCGAAGAAGGGAGTGCATATTGCTTTGCAGCTGTCTGTCGGTCCATCAACAGATTCCGTTCATTTTCTTCGCAGAGGTTGCACATACTGTAATGAAATTTTGTATACAGACTTATCACAAAAATATCTAGGTCAAGTTCTGTTTTGGGTACCATGAGCAATTTTGGACAGAGTTATGCCCCCTGAACTTCCAATTATTTGCAGTTTCCTTTCATTTTCCGTTCATTTCCTTCGCAGAGGTTGCACATACTGAAAAGAAATTTGGTATACAAATTTATCATAAGAATATCTGGTCAAGTTCTGTTTTGGGCAATTTTGGACAGAGTTATGCCCCTTGGACTTAGAAAAATTCCAATTATTTGGGGGAGGGGGACATAAGTGTCTCTTGTTTGTATATAAAAATATGACAAATAAACCTACTAACCCTACCGTGGAAATATTTTTTATGCTATATGCCCATGGTGAAATAGTCATCAAACTATTCACCGGCAGCATTCTGTTTCCCTCGCTTTTCATCTTGGAACTCATCTGCTTTCATTCGGATCGTGACGTTCCACGTCAAGTAAAGTTGGTTTCGGTATAATAAAACACCTACTTACTGACTATTGGGACACTATCATGTTTATCGGCGGCGCCTCGGGAAATAATTGCTGGCTTGGGAGATGGTAAACGTGCTATTGTCCTTATAGCCAATAAATAGGTGTATAAGGCCAAAAAATAAATAAAAGCCCTGTTTTCTGCTACCCGACCAACCCCTTTTTTTTGCGCCCGACCCTAAAGATTTTGTTTTAGTTTTGGAAGAAAAAAATCGTGCATTCCCGGAATTTCACCGTTCTGTCACTGTAATCGGTTTCCGTGTTGATATAAAACAAGCATTTCATGAAATTCTCTGTTTTAATTACGGACTTTCATAAAATACCACTTGAGTTATGCATCAAAAGACATGAATATAATTTTAAAAGACAATATTGACCTGTGACATGTTTAATTTGATCTTGCATTAGTTCATATCCAAAAATTGCAGTCGGAAAAAAAATAAAATAATTTTCCTACCTACTTCCCTCCTTTTTTTCGGGCTCGTAGCAGGAAACAAGACTATTATTTTCTTTGGCCTAATATACACTCAAGATTAAAAATGAAAAGAATTTCTAGTAACTTTTAGTTAAAGCTGTATAAAGTGAGCACTCTCCAAATGACCATTACACTCTGCTGTCATTGATAAATTATAATAATTTATAGGTCTAGCAAAACCATACGATAAACACCCTCCATTTTCTCTCTATGTGGAGGGATAGGAGGGGAGAGGTCAAGGTAATGAAGGTAGTCTAATTACGGATTCAAATCATTCTGTGTATCGGTTTGGGATTTTGATAAACCGTCTTAGGTTTATACGTATACCTTATACATATAATTCGTACAATTTGAATACAAAATATAAATCCAAAAAGACAGTTTTAATCGATCATCCGTTATCTTTCCCTACCAACTTTACAGAGAATTCTTATATCCGGGTTTGGGTTTGGGTGGGTTGAAGGATTATTTGTTGGTTTATTCTCTATATAAATTATATGTATATGCCCCCTTCCCCTAATCCGCATGGATCATCCGCTACTGACAAGTTTTGTCTTCAGCTATTAGTACAAATGACAAGAGCTTGAGTCTAGTGCCATTTATATTCAGTTGAAAAATACAATATTGTATGATGATATGGAATGAAAGGTAAATGATATTTTGGTTATGTATGACTTTAAACCTTTTAATGTTATTTAATGTTTAAATTTCATAATTTCAGGTAAACACCATACCTATTCACCGGAAGTCAGATGTCTACTGTACTGTTTACTGTTCACTGAGAAATATCAACTGAATCTCAATGAACAATCACACAGAATCACAAGGGATAAAATCAGAGACAGATATTTCACTGATATTTCTGATGATGGCTTGGTAGATCTTCCTAATGGAATCACAGAAACGCATAACGGTGTGATGACCTTTAAATCGGACGATATCAGACATGACGTCATGTACGCCTTTGTTACGGAGTGTTTGGTGGAGGAAAATGATCTGGAGTTTTTCCTGACCACTGCGTCACGTGACGTGATATCAGAATATTGCAGGTCCTGGTGGTGTAAGAGGAGTGAGGGAGAGAGATGTCTGTATGTACCGAACAGACCGGAGATGTACGACCTCTTCATAGACAAACTACAGCTGGACATCATCACACACTGTACCGTGTCTGACTGGAGGATTCATTACAGTATCAGTGAATGTTGTGAGTATCATTTCTCTATCATGTCAAATGTAATGCATCAGTTAGGATTTGATAAAAGGCTTATCTAAAAAGAACCAATGATAACCTAAATGAATTGTTTGAGCACAAGCAAGTAGTATAATTAAATGTCACTTTTATACACAGAATGTGTAACTAAATAATTTTAAAGTATTTTGAAACGGTTTATATATTTCGTTTTAAAAATAATATCAGCTGAAATTTTATAATGTATATATATATCAGAATTCTGAGAAAAATGTATTATATAGTTCTTTGCAACAAGTTATTATTATTATTTATTATTATTATTATTATTATTTCTTTATTTTTAGTAGTATATATTTTTCACGTCATAAACTCCAGAGAGAATATATAATAGTAGGTAATAAATAACTGTAAATATAAAAAAAGTTCTTTCAATTTCTGAGGTAAAATGAACTTTTCTTGTAAATTAACACCTCCTTTCAATATTATGTATGGGAAATCCAGCTTCATCTCTAACACACTTAAGGAAAGGCTTCTAACCCCTTTCCTACAAATATGTATTTCACGTGGAGATCAAAGTAGAAAGCATGTCAGAATTTGATGAGTGGATGTTCATTCTCTGTTCTCAAATAGAAAAAAAAGACGGCGAGCATGATATTTGCCATAAAATACCAGGAGTTGAAGTTTGATATTTTTTTTTATTAATGTCGTTCTAAGTAGAAAGATTAAAATTAAATACAAGATAGAGGAACTTTTCTTCATCTCTCCTGGTTCTAAAAGGAGAAATTTCAGTAGCTCTTAAATTTCGCATAAACATGAACAGTATGCCTAATCAAGGTCAGAGCCGAGAGCACTGAATATTAGAAAGGGTTCAGTTGTGCGTGTTTTTTTGGGGGGGGGGGGGGGCGGCATCCTGGTAAGATTACACTGATTATGTATGTAAATAAAAACAAACTATCACCATTTCATCCCACTGGTCGGCTACTATCCCAGGATAGAGCACATATATCCGTTGTACATAATGGTTTTTCTCATGTGTCAGAAAGTATTCAGTACAGTCTTTTTTTGCATATAAAGTAGTATGCACTGATATACTTGTATTACATTAAAGGGATATCCAAGTGACTTAGATCTTTATTTCAAAAATAGCTATAATATACATGTGTAAAGATTATCGGATCAAGTGTTCTTTACCATTTTCGATATATATCTAAGGTCTTGGAAACACGTTCTGTGGTACTTGAATGGTCCTTTATCTTCTCTATATCAGACCGAATATAGAAACATCAGGTACAAAATAAACATTTTTTTTCATTCTTGTTCATTCAGTTTCAATGAAGAGGCCCGAGGGCCTGCCATACCAGTGGTGGACTATCATCCCAGGATACAGTACAATTTAACACAGTGGTTTGTCTTACATGTATGTGTCAGAAATTATACGGAAGTGCAGTGTACTGCATATAAAGCGACTTAATTTTCTTTTCCAACATACCTAATGTACATGTATTAAGTTAAACAATTCAAGTGTCCGTTACCATTTTCGATTTATTTATTTTTATTGGTAGCACTTTATGTGGTTTATGAAATACCCTTAATCCTCTCTATTTTAGACCGGATACAGAGATATCGGGTACCAATACCAAGGGTCATTCCTTGTTTTTTTTTCTATGTTAAGCATCTGCGGACGGATTGGTTTTGAGGTTATAAATTTGTAATCAAACACACACCAAAAATGTACAAATACAAATATTTGCCACACAATTTACCATTCTGAGATTGGCATTGCATTTTTTAAAAAGTTTTGTACCAAAAATATAATTTCAATAAACTAAAAGCTTATGTTTGTTACAATGCAAGTAAAATTCTTAGATGATGATGAGGAATACTACAATTATTTTTATAATGTTGATGTGTTTTCCCCCTTTCAGCTTGTATGTTTTCCCGGATAGAAAGATAGGTTTTTGATTTAAGGGAGGACGCTAAACATAGAAAAAAAAAATTGCAATTGCCTAAACAACATCATATTTAAACTTGAAAAGGGAGGTGTCCTAGATCTGCGGATATTTTCAAGACAAATACCTCAATTTTGTCAATGTACTACCAGTAACATCTACCTAGGATACCTCTATAGCTGTCTTAAAATAATAATGAAAGAATTTTCCCAAGATAAGATAAAATGAGACTTAATTATACATGTATATATTAGAAACTTTCTTAATCCTGAAATAGCCCTATAAAACATGCCTGCTGAGTCAAGGGGCTCGACATTTCCAACTTCACTTTAGATCATGGTGGGACTGTAAGTAAGTAAGTAAGTAAGTAAATATTTTATTATAGTGACTTGTATATAACATAATTTTACATTCATTAGACAAATAAACATACAACACCCGGCCCATCAGACCTACGTATATAAGTCATTTTTAGCAATATAGATATTCATTACATACATGTGATTTTTCTCTGTCTTATATGCATTACATGTATATATGAATCTCGCAGTTTGAAGTGAAAAATGTGCTAATAGATATTTAAATAGAACGTTTAAATCATTATTATGTAAATTTGAAATTCCCACATTTCTTAAAAAAATCATGTACTCCAACAATAAACTTCTAGGCGGAAAAATACCCTGGTACCGGCAACTTCCGTAATTTACATTGCTCGAATTAGACGAAAGGGTCAATATTTATCTTTAGACGAGGGGGTCCATTCGAATATAAGCGTATTGAATGGAATAAGCGAATTTTTTTATGTCATAGATATGTACTTTTTGTGTATTGCGTCCCTGAGCCCTAGATTTCTTGTACTATGTAGACAATGTGGCAATGTTGTGTAACGGGAGAGGAGAAAAATGCAGCGGACCAAACCGGGATTCGAACCCGGGCCCCCTGAATCTCCAGTCAGGTGCTCTACCAACTGAGCTATCTGGCCACCGGCGATCGAACCCGTCTGACCGCCACATTCAGCCCTCCTTAAAGGTATTTGGCCCCAACCCAGGCTCATCCCTGGCAGGCCTCTCACCTGTCACTTCCAGGGCATGGCACGGCACCAAATGTAACGAGAGAGGAGAAAAATGCAATCGGGCCCCTGAATCTCCAGTCACGTGCTCTACCAACTGAGCTATCTTAGCCACCGGCGATCGAATCCGTCTGACCGCCACAGTTGTATCTCCTTTTTAATCGTATAAATACAATTGTAAATACGTACTTACATGTGATGGTATATGTAAACATGTATTGAATCCCCTTTTTTAAATCATAAAACATATTAATGGATATCTGGTGTAAGAATGAAAATTTATCAAAAGGTTGAAAATACAACGTTATTTGTGCATCATTTTACGCATTTTGTGACGTTATTAGCGTAACATTACGTAACACCAGTATCTTGCGCGACGTCACCGACTGTAATCGTATTTGAGGATTAATTGTGGGATTCTTACGAGATGCAGAGTTAATCCGATAGCATGAACTAAAACAGAAATATATGTAGAGACAATATGAACCGACATTTTATCTTCAAATAAAATATTAACATGTTTTTTTTTAACCCAGAAAGACCAGCGGGGGTACAACGTAAACACACCGGAGTAGCATACCTTTCTCTCTTATAATGTATTATGGGGTATTTTTTATGTGGAACGATTATGGGTTTTCCTGATTTTTCGTAAGGATTACATGATAAATACAGGTAAGTGTAAGAAATATAATTTGTGAAGACATGTCCAACAAACACGGGGGTTGAATATCGGGGAGGGGGGGGGGGTCCTGTCCACAGGTACATGTACCTGTGAAATATATATGATAATTCTGATACCATCTCGCCCATGAGTATCGAATAATTTGGGAGACGTACATCTAAGCACCATGTGCATTTGATAGCTGAGTATTGCTACATAAATAAGCAAAGCTGACAATGGAAAAAACTGAAGTCATCTCGTTTGTCTTACAATTTAGTTGGCCTGGATCGGCGCCTGTCGCCATTCATGCAGAAGTGATGCATGTACAAACGCATTCTGCAAGTTTATCATAGCAATAAACAATTTCTTTTTAATAGTTTCTTCAAATATTTCTCTAAAGATAAAGTATTATTTTGAGCTAAAGTTTTTTAATACAAAACAATTAATGGGAATTTTTCCTTCAGACAGACGGTATTTTTTTTTTTTTTTTTGATTTTCAATTCATCATTGTGTGTGTTTCTATTTATCAAGGTAATCTTTTTCAACATTTGGTAAACGTTTTTGTGTGTAACATTTTGCCATTCATGTAATAAACAACATTGTGATTACATTTCTTTTAACTTTAATATGCACATCCTTGTATGTCCATACTTCTTTTTAAGGTACGTAAATATGTTAATTGAATCTGGATGAATATCGTATTTTGTATGAGAAATAGTCAGTCTTACATTCCGGAGGTGAGCATTAACTGCATAGTTTCGTACTATAGTTCCGTTCAAATTTCTTTTAAAAAAAACGGAGATATTCCCTGTTTGATGTGATATTTTTTGTAGAAAAATGAATAGAGTAATTATAGATACATTTGCAGTGTAGCAGAGTGCTTGCTGAAAAAAAATGATGTGCAACATGTAGGTGCCACAATGATACTTAGCATATACAGAGTTGTAAATGTAAATCTAAGACATCCATGCAAAATTCAGCTGGAAGCAGTAGGGCTTAGGGACCAGTCAAAATTTGTCGATGCATGGGACCAGTAAAAACTGGTATACTCATTGTAAAAATCTAAAGACCCCAAGGTAAGAGGTTTGGTAAAAATCGTTGGTCCCATGCTCTGTACATGTACCTTGCAAAAAAGATGTCCCCTCCTATTTGAATGCTTAACATGTACTTTAACTTAACTTTCTATGACAATTTTTAACAACATAGTTTAAGTAATCCATTCATATTGACAATTTACAATTGTTAAATACCAATAAGCCTCAAATAACATTAGTCTAATACATGTACATATACATGTATGCATTGAAGATATCTTTGGATATACAGTAGAACACGCTTATAACGAAGTGTCAGGGTAGGTCGATTTTGCTTCATTATAAGCGTAATTCATTATATCAGTTAAGTTTACAATATATTTTAAAGTCTTGGGGAATGAAAATCACTTTGCTGTAAGCGTAAATTCATTACAGGCGTGTTCACTATAAGCGTGTTTTACTGTATGTATTATAAAGGGATACATATAAATACTATAATGTATGCAAGAATGCATTATCTACCACAGAGATGGTCCTATATATGTGATGTAGATCATGAAAGAAATCACGTTCTCTAAGTAGTATGTTCCATAGACAGTGGGTCAAGCTGCTAGCATATCAAGAATAAAATCTTGTCTAATAATAACTTTAGGTTCATATATTGAAGAAGATGAAACAAGAATTTTCATTACTTTTTAAAATCATCAAAGTTAGTGCAGTACAGTCATCTGCAACAAATAGGAGAAGATACTAATGATATCTCTATATACTGATAATATTACATAGATAAATTTTGAATTTTTGTGTATTAGATTTTTCAACGTTTGTTGTTGTAGTTTTGTAGGTTCAAGTTTGTTCAAATCATAAGCCCCCCCCCCCCCCCCCCGAACCCTTTTATTAAACTTTCCAATACTAAACTTATTTCTGCTTTTTCCTAGCCAGAGTGCTAAAAATGTATATGTTGGCCTCGTTTTGAAAATATGTCTAGAAGTGTAAAAAAACAACAACACTGAAATAAATAATAAATATAGAAACACAAGTTAGGGAACTTAATTTCTCTACAATCTATGTTTGACTCACGAATAATAGAATACCCAGCAGAGAGTTTAATATCAAATTAGTTTTAATACATCCGAGTCAGTCGGCTATGGATTCCCGTCTATTGTCTGCAATCGTCTATCAACCCTCGGACATCATCATCCTTTTCTCTGATGAGTTTCATATAAAATTTAATTAAGAATAGAGTGGTATTATTTGAAAAAAAGAGAGAAAAACACTTGAATAGAACACCAGATAATACGGAGGATGGGATACAAAAGTAAACATGTTATCATTTCGTAGAATATAAATGTAGGTACAGTAATAAATTAAATCGATCTCTACACCATTTAAGATGAAGTTATCGAAAATTGTAAAAGAGGTCATTTTATTACATATTTTTGAGGCTCTAATAACTGCATTCATTTGAAACCTGATATTGGAAAGCTAAAGCTGTCAAATTCCAGTTTTTTCCCTGAGACTGGAGTATAAAAAATGTATTAATTGTGTTGTTAATTACTAATTTATTCTTTGATACATTAATTTCATATGGTACAGTGGGTGTCCCAGAGGAAATACTACGATGGGACCAGGAGGCCAGAGAGCGGTATGTGGAGTATGCTAAGAGAGGAACACAGACAGTCCACCATGCCCGGGGGATGATTGTAGGATGTGCTGGGGCGGGGAAAACCACGCTACTTAAACGTCTGATTGGTTGTAGTGAAGATGTGATAAAGGACGTTAAATCTACTGAGGGATTGGAGGTGCATGAGGAAATATTTGATATATGTGATGAAACAAAATCATTAAGAGGTAACACATTTTTTAATGGTTTTCCATCTTAAGCCTTTGAGAGAGAGAGAGAGAGAGAGAGAGAGATCTTACACAAAACTAAAAATATGAATTACTTTAACTTGTGCTTAATCGTGCTAATAAATTACTTTCAGCATTGTGATTTTAGCACTTGATTTCTTAAAAGAAAATTTTTGATAAGTTTTTTTTTTACTATGAATTTCAATAGAAAGTCAAAACACCATGTCATTGCTTCTGTAATGTATAATAATACCAAAATACTGACAGAATGTGAGGTATGCTGATTTTGAAAAATAGAAATGAAAAATAGAAATACTGATTATGTGATGATTTTTTAGCAAAGAAAAACAAGGACAACAATGGGAAAACATATACTACAAGTGTTGGCGCCGAAAAGACTTTGACATTCTTTGACTTTGGTGGACAGTGTGCGTACTACGCCTGTCACCAGATTTACCTGACCAGGAGGGCTTTCTATGTAGTGGTGGTGGACTCTTCAAAATGTCTTGACCAGAAGGTGGATAAGAAAGTGTGTGATCAAGATGGAAGCGTGTTTTCTGGATGGACCTATGGAGGTATATTTTTAACAAAGAGACATTTAAATATTTTATTTCTGTCCCTTTCATTAAATACCGGTAAATGTTTGATTTTTAAATAGGTGCCGTAAGATAGATCATTTTTCGGTAAATTTGTCAAATGTGTAAATGATTATATCTTCTGGACAAAAACAGATGCATTACGATTGGCCATTTATGACTGGTCAGTTCATATGTCAGTTCTCAATTTTTTTTTTGTCGTCTACCTTTGCGCTCAAGACGTTTCTAAAAGCATATATATAATCTATTAAGTTCATAATGATAGGAAACGATTTATTTTACGATGCATTTTACAATATTTCTCCATTAAAAGAAAGCATAATGCACTCAATCAGTTGCATATATGTGAATTTGTTGTCGGATAGCATAAAATTCACAATAAGCGAGTTTATTGGTCTGTAGAGACGACAAGAAAGGGTAAGGAGGTGAATAAAATATACAGGTTGGTTATAGAATATGTCTAGAAATAGGGAATGAAAGGTAGTTGATTGACCAATGCTGGAAAGTGGCGAAATACATCCCCAAAGTGCACAATAAATCTAGCGCCGTAAATTGCACAATATTTGCATTACGGGATATGTAGCGTTATGGTCAAAGAATAAAATATAAAACCATAACGCTACAGTTCTGCAGCTACATGAACTTATAATTTTTAACTTTTTTCATATTGTTTTCGTTAAATAAAAAGTTTCAGGTTTCAAAGACTTTATTTTCATAACAAGCAATGTTTTGCTACATTAAATAAGATTTTTTGGAGAATTTCCTCTCCAATTTGTTGCCCATTCTATCAAATCATTAAATAAATTTAGTAGTCTCGTTTGCCTGTAATTTTTCAAAGGAGAGAATAATTTTGGAAGCATTCATTAAACGTGAAAACGCGTCTACTTTCTGTTTGTCATGTTCTTTTAATGAGGTACGTGTTACATTGCAGTTAAGTTTCATTTCTACACACGTTCTGTTCAGTTCATTGCAAATTCCTATGGACATATGCGGTCTTGAAATCTCAATTATATCGCTCTTAGATTTATTTTTATTTTGATAGAGCAAACATTATCAATATTCAGCAAACCTTTCGTGGACTTTTAGATGTTCTCTTTATAGTAACATCGAACAGCGCTTCAAAAGTTTTCTCGGCTACTAGTTCAATTGCAGTATAAGGGAAAAATTCACATCCACTGTTTTTTACTATTGACGCATCGTACATATAAAGAGTAGACAGGCATCGTAAAAAAAACGTCACACATTGTAACACAATATGAGTTACGAAGTACGAATTTTCTCAACCCCTCGCTTATCCGCGCTTATGTCATTCCTCAACCACGCGAAGTCTTTTGTGCGCTTGATGTAAAAAGTAAAAAATAAATGTACTCGGATATTTTTGGATGCGTGGATGGACATATTTTTTTGGGGTAGACTTTACTTTACCGGTCCCCAGATCCGCAAGATCCGCGCGCTCATTGCATTATGACGTAAGATTTACGTCACTCAACTGATAAGGGTTAGTCTTGCACATTTTTTGACTGGTTAGGGTTAGTCTTGCACCCACCTGAGAGATTAGGGTTAGTCCTTGCACAAGTTTTCAACTGATTAGGGTTAGTCTCGCATCCATCCGAGAGATTATGGTTAGTCCTCGCACATGGGTTAGTCTAGCATCCGCCCGGGAGATTTGGGTTAGTCCTCGCTTACCATCCGAGGGATTAGGGTTAGTGTCTTGTTTTTTTTTTAAAGATAAATTAGATATTCAGTTGCATCTGTATTTTTGCAAGATCTTAATTCAGCTTTAACGACATCTCTTTGGTTTGTTTACATGAAAAAATGGCTAAGTACGAAAGAAACGGCACTAAGCATGCGCCGCACGCGCTCTGTTGACAATTATTTTTTGTCTCCTTTTCACTGAATAAACAATATTAATCACTTTTTTCAGAAAACGAGGTTAAAAACTTCGTTTAAAAACGAAGTTTTTAACTAAACTTTTATCTGTAGAATTCGATTTTGGGGTCAAAAAGGCTAAAAACCTCATACTTTTAATTTTTTTCGATCGCTCACGCGATCTCATATATACTGAAGTCGCCTACGGGGACACTATATTTTAGCGCGTTTTTCTGGGGACCGGTAAAGTAAAGTCGTTCCTTTTTTTGTTAATATTATAATTTGGATTTGTTACAAATAGAAGCGGCGAAGCCGACGAACTATATTGCAAACTGGTATGGCTTTATTGTATAATTTTAACATAAAATATAAATGTTTTATACTGAAGACACAAATTTATCTCAAGATAACCCTATCTATTTGTAAAATTATTTTTTTTAATTCATAGATTTTATTTGTGCTTTCACATATACAGAATATACAATATATTAATTAATATTGAATCAATACTTTCATTTCTACTTCCTGATACTTCACATTAAATACATTTTCTTTGTATTAAATATATGTTGCATTTCAAAATCAAACTAATATATGACATATTGTACATTTATATGAATCTTCACTGTGAAAGCTTTATATACAGATATAAAATTTAAAAAGGAATAGGGGGCGAAAGGATGTAAAAACGTGAGGTGGGGGGAACAGTATTACGTATTTTAACATACTTATACATTTGTTTATAAACTTGAGAAAAAATAAATATATTATACATGTAGCATATCACAAATAGTTTTCCAGTATATTTCATATTCTGAAAATTTACAGTTTTTTTTTTTAAATTATAACTTTTTCAACTAATATTCTATCCCCAATATTTTTTTCTAGGATTGAGATGCTTAGTTTAGGCACATTCTTAAACCTACTAGCAAAAATAAATTGCTTAACAGTAAGTATTAATATACTGTGTAGTCTAAACATGTTTTTGTTGTTGAATTTGTCAAAAAGTATATCCTTTCTATCAAAGTTAATTAATGGTAAAATGAAACTTATTTATAAACCATTCCTCAATGTGACACCATATTTGTTTAACGCAGAAACACTTGAAAAATAAATGTTCAATCGTTTTAACATCTTGTTTACAAAAGGAACATACAGGTGAATCAATTAGTTTGAGTTTATAAAGGTATTTATTTGTTGCAATAATCCTATGCAGAATTTGAAATTGCATTCACTGAAAATTTGCTTCTTTTGTGACTTTAAAAGGAAGTTCAAATATATTGTTCCAGTCTATATCGCCAAAAAATATTCCATTATTTTCCCATGTTTCTAGTGCCTTAATTGCTTCCTTTTTCTTCTTAATGAGTATATACTGTACATGTCTTTACAGCCTTTTGTACTTTAAAAAAAATATAAAGTGAATTAGGGATAAAAGGTCCATTTTCTCTTCTTTCAATATCAATATTTTTCAGTATTTTTAAAACACCTACTTTTAAACCTGCATATTCTATAAAACTTGTTTTTACATTAAGATTTGTGAGGTACTCAAGGCTTACAAATTTTCCTTCAGAGTCAAACAGATCTCTTACAAAAACAAAGCCTGCGTCGAAATAACTTTTCAAAAATATGAATGAGTTGTTCATTTTAATTCTTGGATTAAACCATATATGTTCATGAAGAATTTGCATATTATTTTGACCAGAGTCAATGATTTTTACCCAATTAAGTAAAATCTTTTACAAAACTTGTTACTTATTTTATTACACATATTAACAGAAAAGTCTAAACCTCTTACCCATAGAGATTCAACTTTCATTCCTAATTCTGATTCAAGAAGTTTTAGCCATTTTGTATCTGAGTAAATTAGTCCTCGGATCCATATTGATTTTAATGCACATAGAAAATCCTCACATTCAATCATTCCCCCCCCCCCCCCACCCACCCATTTCTATAATCTTGAATCATAACATTTTTCTTAACCTTATGAATTGTACTTCCCCATAAAAAGTTGTAAAGGTCTTTCTCAAATTCATCTAGGAGTTCCCTATTAGGGTTCGGAAAAGTCAATATCAAACAGTTCATCTTTGGAATATTCAGGGATTTAATCACTGCTAACCTACCAATTCGATTAAGTTTTCTTAACTGTCGTTGTGATTTGTAAAAATATCAATTTTTCTACTTTTAGTACATCATTTTTCTTTTTACTTATTTGTTTTTTTTCACAGGAAATTTCTCACTCATGAAACACACTTTTGGTTAAGGAGAATGAAATACATAAATTCTTAGCATATTCCTTGAAATACGAGGGTTGTCCCAGAAACGTGAACGGTTTCATTATTTTTTTTTACATTATAAAGTTGAAAATTGGTGTGCACCATAATCAACCTTTTTTTTTAAATCAATACACAGAAATTTCAATAAAATATAATTATATCTCTATAAATATCATTTTTCTCTCGGATAAACGAATCATTCAAAATAGCTGTTGCCGCAACACCGACGACGTCAAAACATAGCTCGTGGCGTTTGTGAATTTTTTTTCACTAATTTTTAAAATTAAGTTCGAAGCATAATTCGATAGTACGTTTGATTTATGAGATTAGTAAGGTGTCTGTCGTCCGTCTGGCTGTCTGTCTAGCTGTCCGCCTGTCTGTCTGTCTCTCTGTAACAATTTTTCAAAATACAACTTCTCCTACAGTTTTAGTCTGATCTTATTATAGCTTGGTACACAAGTATACTACACTGATACATATTTGATTCCCTTGAATGGTGTTGCGGTGGTCACTAAAAATAGAACTTTTTGTGAAATACTTTCAAAACGTTACTCCTCTTACAGTTTTGGTCTGATTTCAATATAACTTGGCACACAAGTATGCTACACAAAGATACATAATTCTATGTATCGGATTTTTATTTCCGTGAACGTGTTGCCGTGGTTACTAAAAACAAAAATTTCTTTGAAATAATTTCAAAACGCTACACCTCCTACAGTTTTGGTCAGATTTCAATATAACTATGCACACAAGTAGACTACACTAAGATACATAATTCTCTGTATCAGTTTTTTAGCTCACCTGAGCTGAAAGCTGAAGTGAGCTTTTCTGATCACC